AAATTTTACTCTGGAAATAAAAACCAAAAAAAAAAAAAGTTCATCATTGAATTGGTCATGGTGGTTTATCACAGTAAAAGAAAAGTAACTAAGACAGATTTGAAACCACAGCATTAGGTGTTGCTGTGAAGATTCTGACCATATTTTCTGGAGCACTGTGGAAGAAGTTGGAACTTTGGTTTCAGTTGATCTATATTACCACAGTAGCAGGAAAATAACTGGTACACATTCTGAGTGAGATACCCCTGACCATGAACAAAATCTCATGTTTTCCCTCATTTTTGCATATTTCAACTGAGTATTCAAATTGTATGTTTCACTTGGCATACATAGAAGTCTATAAATTAGTAAGGGGCCAGCAGGGATAATGGCTTTCAAAAGAAGAAAAATGCAACACAGAGGTATAAAGTTTCAAATAGAAACACTAGAACTGGAAGGTCTGAATGGGATGGGGCCTGACAGGGCAGAATATAGAGGGAACATGGGCAAGGAGAACCAACACTAAAGACTTTTTGAAAAAGTCATATGGAAACCTACTACATAAAACAGATATGTCCTAAAATATATGTATGCACATATACAAAAAGTTTGAATGGAGTTACCCCACAACAGGGAGACAAGACTCCCACTTTGAGACCATGATTAACAAAAAGAAAGGTCAGTTGCGGAAATGATTGCCTCTTTTGGAGTTGTTAACCAGTGAAGTTCCATAGACCAGCAAACATTGCAAGCTATTGCCAGTGCTATTGGTTACCCTCCAAACCATGTTGCTAAGACTCTGTTGCTGAAGAAAATACCAGCTTGACTCATTGAGAAATCAACCTGGTTCTTTCTCATTTCTCATTGGGAAATCAACCTGGTTCTTTCCTAGAATCTTCTTCCCTACAGGCTATGTTACATAGTACTGCAAGGTGCTAGGCATGACACTAGAGGAGAAAAATAATCATCAGTTATTTGGTGTCTGTGAGATAGAGTGATGACTGGCCCAAGAAGATAGTGGCATGAATGCTAGGAAGTAAACAACAATTTCCTGATTGGATTTAAGGCCTGCTTCACTAGATAAAACTCCTA